AGAGCAGCGCGGGTGGCCCTATCTTAAATACCTTGAATTTTTCTGGTCAGTACAAGTCTCCCAACATCGGTGGCCGTGATCACTTTCTGCACACCGTGTGCAAGCTCCATCGATATTATCACTCCCTCTTTACAAATGAATTCAGTACCAAACTACAAAATGTTCACTTAGCTACTTATCTTCTGATGTTTCATTGCTTTAGAGGACCTCAGCTCACTCATATAATACTATATAAAGAGAAATCTGATATTAGGGTGACCTGTTAGGAAATGATTTTGGAGTGGCCCTCTTCAAAGATGTAGGCCGGGGAACTGCCAGTGCCTGGCTTTAAGTGGCCTTTCCATCTCTCTGTCGCGGCCTCTCTCATGGGGTTTCCATCTCTCTCTCTCTCTCTCTCAGATTCTAACATTTGCTTTTGCTTTTTGGGGTTTTCACAACCCCCCCAAATATCATCCAAACAGGAACAATTCAAGGAGAAATTATACAATACTACTGTAGTACCAGCTAGCAACGATTTCCTATGTATGGACTTATCAAACATGGGGAAAGTAATTGATTTCCCATCCCCAGCTCTCCTTTCTCATGAACCAAACGGGGCCTTAAGGTTTTCCCTGAGAAGGTTTTAATGAGGCCACTTGGGACATGCCTCTGCTGTGTAATTCCTTCATTCCATTTGAATACAATCCCATCGTTTTCTATCCCCAAAAAATTTACCCCAAAAAAAAAAAAAAAAAAAAAAAAAAAAAAACTAAATTGATCAGAATCTTTTTAAACAAAGGAATCAGTTTTTAAATCTTTCATAAGGATCTGATAAAACAAGATTTTCCTGGACTCCTGTCCCTCTTTCTAATTGGTTGGAGGTCCAAAATATTTGTTGCGAAAATTGCCTCAATCCTTCATTTGAATGAATGCGTTAACTAATTAATTAATTAATTAATCTGCTTCAAAAAGAGCAAATTAATGACGACAATATTGAAGATTCCAAGACTCCGTAATGATTCAAACATATCATCTCGAAGTGTCCAAGTTCGCAATAAAAGGGAGAGGCCAAGAGTGGTGTTTGATTTTTGCTGTCACCCCTTCAGTATCGGCAATCATTTAATTTTCTTTTTGCTGTTTCCTTACATTTGATTTTCTCTTGGCCTTTCCCGTAATGATTATTTTTCCTTTCGCTGATAGAATCCACCTCCTTTTACTTGTCCCTAAACCTGTTATCCATCCATACAACTTACAAGCGCGGAAACAACGGGCTCTCTCTCTCTCTCTCTCTCTCTCTTCTTGGACTTAAGTGCATCAAAGTCCCTGTGCATTAGTGGTTGCATGTCGGCTTCACTCTCTCTCTCTCTCTCTCTCTCTCTTCTTGGACTTAAGTGCATCAAAGTGAAACTGAAACTTAGTCTAAGTGCATCAAAGTGAAACTTAGTAACCAAACATACAATTGTCCATCAATCCCCAAACTCAATAACTCTAATAACTAACAAATACGTACGATTCAGGTTATTGTTTCTGCCCATTTACAAAATCTTCTTCTTCATAGCCCATTTATTTGTAGTTGCTGCATTGATGAGGCTTTTATTTATTTATTATTTTTTTAATTTTTTAATTTTTTGATTAGTGAGGAGATGGGAGATCAAATTGCTACCCTTTTTAACATTGGAAACCAGCAGGTACCAAAGTGGTGGTCTCCCCCTCTCCCCTGCTTGACACTCAGGTTAGAAACCCTAAGGGTTTTTTCCCTCACAATGTAACGAAAAAAAAAATTTATCTAAATCATCTCGATTGGTGGCTTTCTATCTTGAGATCTTTTGGGTTGAGAACTTGATTTGAAAAAGTATAGGCTAGGCCACGTGTGGAGGACTAGACTAGGTTAGCTTAGAAATGACCAGATTTCGTGTGAAATCAAAGAAGAACATGGATATTGTCTTCGCACTTGGATGAATGAATTATTCATAAAAAATTGATGCCTTAAAGTTATCCCCACCCACTCATCCTTCAACTTAAGAGACAACATCAATACTTTCTCTTGATTGCATACTCTCTTGGATGGATATTTAGCTATAATCCAAGCTAGCCTAGTCTAGCTGATTTCTACTAACTCTAACCCTCAAGCTTGCTCTTGTCCCGATAATTTTATTTTAGAGTTGCGTAGCATGACATGAGAATAAAATTAAAATAAGCCTTAGTTGCTAAGTTTCATTTTTTCGATGTAACTTGCTCTTGTCCCTGTAATTCTATTTTAGAGTTGCTTAGGAATAAAATAAAATAAAAGCCTTTGTTATACTGGATAACTGAGGCTTATTTTTATGTATTTAGCCTTTAAGCACTTTGGTGGGATAAGATTAGTTCCTCTGCAAGTTTTTATTTTTATTTTTTAAAAAAGGCTTTTGAGCAGTGGCAGATCTAGGAGTCTATAGACAAAGGGTCACATTATAAAAATTCCAAAACAATTATACAAAGAAAATAATACTAAAATATAGAATGATAGTACTTCCATTCATAATTCATAACGAAATCAATACGATAAGTTAAAATTGTCCACGCCGAGTTTTTATCTTTTAAAAACATTGCATTATAGTTTCGTTATTAATACAAGCAAAAACATCCCTCTCAATGCAAACAATATCTCATCTACTTCAATTAGTCTTGCACTTGAACTACCCGGATTAGACGGAGAATGACTATCCGTAGATAATTTTCTTTTAAAGAATCATTCCACAAATCTACACATTAATTAATTCAATTAATCATTAAGTTTTATCCAATTATCATATGAATATGAAAATATAGTTAGTAAAATATAGAACATAAAAAGAATAAATAAAATACGTACGTAAAAATAAAAATGAATAGTTTAGTTTAATTTATTTTATTTAAAATTTGCAATATATATTATTTTTATTTAATAATATGTGAAAATATATATAATATGTGAATTTTGCCTATATTATTAAATTTTATAAAACAATACATATATTAAATGTGAAAAATACATATATTCATGTATAATATGTATGTTGTATAGAAAAATACATGTATAAAAATATTTACATATATATAATACGAATATTATAATTGAAAATGTTGACTAGGCTTTTCAGTATAATCTGGTCATCGTTGCCATTGGTTTACCTTGGACACTACAAAGATATATGGGCTAATAATTAATGCACGAAGTAGGCCTAGGCATGAATCGGTTCGGAACGGTAGAAGGCTCTTCCGTTAATCAAACCAAAGACTTCGATAGACCATTTTCTCTTCCATTAACCAAACCAAAGACTTCGGTATACTTCGGATCGGTTAACCTAATATTTGGTTCGGTACGCCGGTAGTACCGTAATAAAAATATACTAATAAAAATACAATTTATAATACTTTCACATAACATAAGTTCTTGAATAAATACACCAAATCATCCTTGTCAAATATAAAAATCCAATAGTCTAATTCATCCAAGTACAAAGTCAAATAACTTAGTCACTATATCATTCAATATATACTCAAGATATATTGGGAGCCACTTGTGTTTTTTGTTTGACCATTTGGGTGTTATTTTTACTGAATTCTCTACATTTATGTAAATGATTTTGAATTTGTTTTGCTTAGGGTTCTTTATTTTTCATGCTGAATCCAACCATATAAAGAACATAAAATTTGGATCAATGGTTGGAAAGTTTGGGCTGATAAATAAGTGATAAAATGGTGATAATGCAGTGATACAATGGTGATAAAGAAGTGATACAACACTGATAAAGGAGTAATAGAAAATGCTGATTGTATTTATCTTTGGTTTTTTGTTTTGTATTTAAATAATAGAATAAGTATAAATATCGGATCGGTACGGGTTTCCGTCGGGTTAGGAATATTGTTTCCATTAACCAAACCAAACATCTCGGTACGAATCGGATCGAAATAATTAAAATTAAAAAATAATTATTTAACCAAACCAAACCAAACCATCGGTACGATACGGTCGGTACGCGGATAATTCAGATGAAATGCCCACCCCTAGTACGAAGTGTATAGATTTTTGCGCAAATATTTTATGGGGTTTTTCTTGGTAAGTTGAATATCTTTGTCGCAAGCGCCGGCACGCAGATACCCCAATCCGAACCAAATAACAAGAGCGCCATGTTTAACTTTAAGTTTTGACTGTTCCCATGCAAAGTGAGTTCATTTCCCGCGAGTCACAACACAAAAATTTAGCTCATCCATCTTCCCAAAATTATAAATTTAGCCCATCCCCACATCTAAAGTAAAGCCCACTATATTTTCTTCTCTAATTTGTTTATCATTGTTTATTACTTTTATGATTCTTCCATAATTTATTTCTCATTGTTTCAATGGTTGATATTACAATTTACAATTAATGAACCGAAGTACACTTTTAAAATTAGGTTTTCGGAAGAAGTACTAAATTTGAATCTTCCCCTTTTACTCATCAGAAGGAAAAAAAATATCCCTAAAATGTTAGAAATTATAGGCCTTTATATTTTCTCTCAAAATAGCAGCAAGTTAAATTTAGAGGGGCAGACGTGCATGATATAAGTATTGGCATAAGTATTTTAACAACCCTCTATAGGTATGGCTACATAAAACAAGGTAACGAGATTCTCTTTATTCTTCTACTAGAGGGCCACACGTGCATGATATATATATGTAGTCTTTCAAGGAACATTCTGGCTTTGAAGTCATCTCCTATTCTTAGCTAGGTAGCCCAAATCTCTATGCGTATGTATATCACATCATCGGGATCATTGTATTTTGCTTTAGCAAATCCAGTTGTTTCACCAAAAAAAAAAAAATTCCAGTTGTTTCCAGGTTGAATTCAAATCAAAATTAAAGGTAAGAGGGAAAAAAAAAAATCTTGGCAATAGTTTTAGTTTTTTATTTATTATTTATTTATGAATATAAAACACCAAACTCAGTTATAAAACTAAACTAAAATTAAAAAAAATTAAATTAAAAATAATAATAATTTGAACACTCTGAATGAGATGAGATTAGCAGGGGATTTGAGAAGTGAACCACTCCATCACATGAATTGGGGCTTTGACCAATTCCAGAGCCAACTCCACGACAACCGTCACGCACAAACAGCACGGACATATGCAAGTCAGCAACAATCCGACGATCCAGATAACGATGCCGACGATGGAGAGGATGAGGGAGAGGAAACCAAAAGGAAGGCCGAGCAGAAAGCCCAGAGGCCTGCAATCACCTTCTGAAGAGCACATTTTCTCGCACTTTCTTTCTTCTTCTTTTTTTCTGGGATTTTGGTTCTTCAGCAGCAACTGCTTGAGAGAGAAGAGAATGGAGAGAGACTTGTTTAGTAATGGGAGACGGCACACGCTGTGTGTTGTATAGTTGGAAGTTTCTTGTGCTTTTCTGGAAATAGTTATAGTTACTTGGACTAGGGATACCAGTCCATGACTTTGACTCTATTAAGACAATTTCATTGTCTGGGATAAATATTATTCATCACTTGAGATTCAGAGAAAAATATTCTTGATCATTTGAGATTAAGAAATAAATATTTTTGATCACCTAAGCTACAAGCTACTGTATGTAAACTTTTTAAATGAAGTAGAACGATGTAATTAAAATACAACATTACTATTTGTCAAATTGTCATCACCAGAAGTAGAAAAGATACAATCCCTACAGGAGCAATATGCAAAAACTTTCCATATATGCACCAATCAGGGAACAAAGCATACACAACAAGGATACAAAAACAACAAAACCAATACAAACAAAGGCCAAGATAGGGTAGAGCAGTACCCATATCTATTTATCTAACATAGTTAGGCACTCTCTAACGAGCAAACTGGACAAAGCCAGAGTAAATTGCAAGAATAACTAACCATAATTCATTGAAAATAGGTTAGCTGTAATATTCTTGAAGATCTGGGTACGTGGCTGGCTAGGGAAAAAGCGGTTTGAGCAGTGCAATTTTGTACTGTGTCTGATAAAATGCATTATCCTCCTGCCAGAAATACATGACATCGCCAGCAGCAATGCCTCTCTCCTTGACAAAGACTCTCCATTGTTTTGCCTGGAAAACTGGTTTTTTGGCCCTGCCCTGTCTACCAGATAAATAGAACACATAGACCTTACCCGTTTCGTCTAAGACTCTGATTGGGACATCATGCTCTGGATCTATTTGGGGCAGGAATTCAAGCATGCCCTTCGTCACTGCTAATCTTTGATTGACATCAGACGGTGTCAACTCTTTTTCAAATCGATTCATCTCTCTGGGGCCTCTACAAAGTTTGAGCACCAAATTAAAGCTGTCGAGCTCCGAACGGACGTAGCTAGCTGCTTATGTTGAGATGAGTTGATAATATTGGTGAGATGCATATGTAGAGAGACATCACTCTTCGTTTTGTGAGAGCTGAGTCAAGGGCGGAGCTAGAATTGTAAAATTAAAGGAGTCGAAGTAGAAAATACATAAGTATTCAATAAGTACATGTTTAGAGCTAAATATTTCTAATTTAGTCATGTCTAATTTGTTTTAGAGGGAACTTTAAATTATAAGTGGTTTATTACAAATTTTATATGTTATATATAATATAATAGAGGAGAGATAAAAAAAAAATTTGGAAAGGGGGGGGAGGGGGGGCACTGGAAAAGGGCCAGTGCCACTCCAGGTCTAAGAGTGGCTCTGCCACTGGCTTAGTCATTTTCTCTGAGCAAAAATTCATTACACAAGATCACATATGTACAACCATAGTCTAAAATATCGATAATATCGATGATATTATCGTTTTTTCGAGTCACAGATATTTTGGAACATATCTATACACATATCGTATAAATATCAATAATATCGACGACATTATCGGAAAATATCGATGTCGATAATTTCGTTCACACTTTAACAATATTTTGTCAAAATATCGCTATAATATTGAAAATATCGATGTAATGAAAAAAGGAAAAAAAAAACATAAAGCACACATGCAAAGGTATTTGAACCCTTGCCATTTCACACCTCCAATGCCTTAACCATGATGTTGCTTATGTTTTTGTGATAATATGGAAAAGGGAACTCTATGTGGTACTAAGTCACTCATGTATCTTATCATACAATGTATAAAGGGTAAAATATTGTAGTAAATCGTTATATATAAATGATTATGGTGTGTTTAATCTTCTTTCATCTTACTACATATTTTCTACACTCACAATATTTGTCAACTTGCTATATAATCAACTTAAATCAGTTAAACCCATCATGCAATCCATTTCCTTCCAATTTTTTGTGATAAACTAATAGATAATTGACTAAATAAACATCCTCCAAAGTTTCAATACAAATTTTCAAGTTTTTCTTACAATTTTCGTAGTCTTTATTCACTTTTTATCGATATTGATAATGTAACGATATTTCCATTAAAATTTCTGTGTTTTTGGACTATCGATATTTCTGATACCATCGATATTTTAGACCATGTGTACAATAGATAGTCCAAATGATTTTGCATAGGTGGGGCCCAACAGCCCCAATTAGGAAGCATAAGTCCGCAATGGTAAATCAAATATGTGATGTAAGCAAAACGGACTTACATTTATATTTATTCAAAAACAACTAGAGATCGATTAGGTAATGTAGCTATTTATATTATAGAAGGCCTAATTAGGGTTAAGGATCTTAAAAGTATTTTGCAACTTGTGGCAGGACCCTAATTAATTCTGAGAGGTGATGAAGAGAACTTCAATCTAAACATGGTCCAAAAGAGGTGATGAGGAACTTCAATATGAAAACAAAAGTACATTACAAATTAGATAGGGATCTTAACCGCATCCATAGGAAAGTTACTGAATCATGTACAAGAGTTATTATAATTATGCCCTATTTTTGCTAAATAATCAGCTAGCACATTAGCCTCTCCGTAAATATAAGCAATTGTTACTTGAGAAATGAGAGAAAGGACTCCTAAAATTTAACTAAGGACTTAAGAGCATGATTGTTGCCCAAACAAACAACCCCCCAAGCGGTTATGACCAAAAAAAAAAAGCCCCCCACGCGTCGCTTCTTTCTGTCTCCCCTATGTCTCTTTTCTTAAAAAAAATTTCTGCAGTGTACTTGAACTTGAATTGGGATCCCTTTGTCTCCCCTTGTCGTATCTAAAACGCGTCCCGTCCCCTCCGCTTCTCTCTCTCTTTGCCATGTCCATAGTCCATCCAATAAAAAATAAAAAGGTATATTTTGCACTTCAAACTGGATATGATAAGTGATAATTAAGAAGCATACATACATACATACTTTGGCTAATTAAGTTTCTGAAAATGGAGAAGAGATGGAGGAGCCTTCCAAGCATGGCGGTGGTCACCACAAGTCTGTCAAAATCGCTGGCGTTCAGCACTTTCTCAAAACGGCTCCATCTCTTCAGGGGCTTATTTCAGTAAATAAAAAAAGAGTGATTAATCGAAACCCTAATTCTCCAACACCAACGCACCCACTTCCCCTATTTCTCTCTTCCTCTTCTTCCAGCGCCGCACAACCCTTTCATCTCATTTTTTTTCTTTCATTTTCATTCTTTCTTAGTTCTTCTCTTTGTTCCTTCATTTTTGCTCTTGTCTAGCTCTGAAATTGTTCTCTCTTCTTTTCTTCCTTCTTCGTCGTCTTTTCTTTCCCATTTCTTCTTGTTCTTTCTCCCTTGCAATATTCACTCGGTGTATCCGAGAAAGCAGAGGACAAGAAAGGTTTGCAATAGAGAAAAGAAAAACTCAATTTGTAATCTTTAATCCATGTTTTTTTTTATTCGTTTCCAAGTTTTCATTTTTGCAGGTACATTCCACAGGTTTTGAAGAATTTGAAGTGGAATGGTGAATAATTTCTTGGATCATTTTAATCATTTGATTGATTTTTCCTCAAGGTTTGTTCATACAAATTATACGACTCTTCTTTTTTTGTTTAAAACTTTCGTTAATGTTAATCTATTAATTGTTGATATACTGTTAATTAACAGTGGCTGATCCAGAAAAGAGGAATCGTTGAAATGCTTCGTGTGCTGCAGTAAAATAAGAAGAAACGCTTCGAGATTTCTTCTGTAAAGCTGTGTTCGAGTTGAATGGATGTGGGTTCGAAATTCGAACTTTGTATAGAAGAGAAAAGAGGGGAAGAAGAATAATTTGGATTTAGGGAGATTTTGAATTTTGTGTTTTGTGTGTTTTTTTAATAATTAATAATTGAAAGTATTAGGGGCGGATGTTTGCGCCTGTAATAAAGATCTTTAATGTAATCTGCCAACGTGGCAACACAAATAGTAAGGGCGGATCTTTGAGATTTTCTACCCCTAAGAGCAACTCCAGCGAGGAGTCCAGCCTCTGTCTAGGGGGAGAAAAAAAACCCCAATTCCAGTGATGAGCCCAAGCCCGAGTTGGGAGTGGGACCCACGAAGACGGGCTGGCCCGAAGGCAGCTCTAGCCAGAGTTCGAGCCCGAGGGGGGGG